ATATATATGATCTCCTTAGGGTTGGAGTCTTCTACAAGGCATAGGTCTTCATTCAAGATTTCCTTCCAAGATAATAGGATAACTATGGCAAGAAATCTTCTATTCTCTCTCATTGATCTCCTCTCCTAGCATGTCTCTTTTCTCCTTTTTCTTTATCTCTCCACGTGCACTTACCTATATAAAAACCGTAATAAGATATACATGAATTTTCATATGGAATATAACACAATATTACTTAAAGAAATATAGTGTATAAAGATCTTCTCTTTTTATTCTGTGGTTCCAGGTGTTTGTTCGAACTATCGAACTAATGCCAAAATAAAATATCTTTCAAGAGTCATGGGAAGAAATATAATGATATTTTCAATGAATTTGTGATGATCATTCTGAAGCCTAAAAAGCTTAATTTATATACGATAAAACTAGAAACATAATGATGGTTAAGTGTCAACTAATGATGTGGGGGAGTAATATGCCTCCCCATGCAAAAACCCATATTTTGATGATAGGACTGGTTGGCGGTCGCTTTACCAGTTTGCTATGTCGGTTATTATTCATATCGCAGAGAAATCGATAATCTTCAGCAGAAGGTAATGATCAACATATCGACGTTTAGTTTAGATGTGGATCACCACAAGATTGGCGGTGTAGCTTTTCGGCTTGTTTCTTCTCATAGTTTGGGCCCGGCTCAAGATAGCTCTAATATCCATAGGGAGTAATCCATACCTTGGTATAGTGGGCAGGCCCAATATTGATGAGTAATTTATTTCGTATTACAAACCCAATATACACGAGTAATTTTTACGTATAACACAACCCATCTCACTCGGAGCCATCTCAGTCAAATGAAGGTACGAGATTATGAAGTTATTTAATTTTTTAGAAGCATGATGAGTCTTTTATTACTCAATCTATTTTCAGTACTCTTTAGAATGGACTCGGCTACTAAATGATTATGTATTGTTTATATATAAAGTATGAGCTACTTAATTTATAAAAGATGTGTATGGTAATCAATACAAAAGTGGCAGTATATTTTATGAATTAAAATGAATATAGTGGTATTTTCAGAATAATAAAGAGGATGATAACTTAATACAAGTAGGAAGGAGAGGGCTAAAAGAATATTAGAGCATCTCCAATACTCAACTATTGTTGTGATAAATTATATTCCACATCAACATTTTTAGTAATGTCATAATTTTTCATCCTCCAATACACAATGTGATAAGAAATGTTGTGATGATGTGAACATAATTGAAGTCTACAATGTAGAGAAGAATATGGTTCATCCACATTCTCCTCCACACTCTAGTTAGCCAATGAAGAGAAGAGAGAGATGTATTCTTACCAATTCCAAAATATTTAATTATTTAATTAATTTTCTTACTACATATTATACAATTTTAATATTTAGTAAGTAGATAATATTGTAGTTAGACTACATTGTGCATTGGAGATAATTTTATAATTTCATATTTGTAAAAACTTAACATTTTTCCTACATAATTTACAATCTATTTTATTTATTGACATTCGTTAAAATTAGACTATTGGAGATGTTCTTATGTGCAGAGACCGAAACTTAAATGAGAATTTCGGTGATATTCCCAAAGTAGTCATTTTTTTTGGAGAAGATAATTTCTACCTAGTTACCATGTGACCGACGCTTTAATTTCAACGTTTGAAGTTTAATAAGTATCTTTGGAGATCTAATTCACGAGTTTATGGATAAAATTATTCTACCGAGTCATCTGTTTAAAGAGAGTATTCATATTTATTTGGTGAAGAACATTAAAATAAACAATTGAAAAGTATAAATTTTGACTTAGCAATGTAATAATTATTTGTAAGTTTGGTCGTCATATGTAGGACTGTTTTATAACAGTAGCGTCAAATAACATTACACACTACTGGTATGCTATAAACGTATTTCTCCTACGTGCATTTCATATTTGAAAATTTCCGGCTGGGCTTAAGTGAGAGACTCACACGTTTTAGAGTTCTATGTATCAAAAAAATCATGTGGTAGTTAGACTTGGATATAAATTAATATTTTTTAATGTAAAAATATTTAGACTTTGATTGCATCACATGTCTATATTATTTTCATTAAATCTTTGATTGATCTCATCTTTCTTTTTTTCTCTAATTAGTTACCATAAACTAATTTACGTTTTTCTTTTTCACATTACCATATATTAGATTTCCTTCTGTTATTTAATTCATACATCGGTTACTATAAATGCATCGTCTTATAATTTTTTAAAAAAATTACAACTTTTTTGTTTGTATTTTATTTTATAAAATATAATATATCAAAGTAATTATCTTTAAATGATCATCGATTTAATATTCATATAATATTTATAAAATACAAAATAATGTTATATATCCTCGTAAATAAAATTAAATTCATTTATCAACTAAATTTTGGAATATCAAATAAAACTATAAATTATCTTATAAAGCAATAGAGATTAATATATAATATATATATTAACATACATTAAAATTGCTAATTTAATTGGAAGAAAATATGTAAACTAAGTACGAACATAAAACAAATATAAAAAATATTCTAAAATTTATGTCTCAACTTAACTAAAGAATGCAAAGTGATTAAACATTATAATGAAATTAAAAAAATAATGGATATTATAATTAAAAATAATAAAAAAATGAATATATTTCATAAAGGTTTAAATTATTACACTCATACACATTATATTTTAAATTATTAAATATTATAAAATTAAAGATATATAAAAATATAATAGATAAGGGAATAAAACTTGTGTGTGTGTGTGTGTGTGTGTGTTGTGAGTGTGTATGTGTGTGTGAGAGAGAGAGAGAGAGATTAAAAAAAATATCATTTTAACAAATCGAGTATAAAATATAAGTATTATTTTAAATAATTAAATTTGATTGATTTGTCTATGTAATTTTTTATCATTTTATTATAATAAAATGTATTTATTTACTTACTTTTTATATAATATTTTATTTTAATGCACCTGAGTTAGTAATGGACATTATATTAACTGCAAAATAAATTAATTTTTTTATTTCATTTTGACAAAAATGAATATATCTTAAATATATCAAATATTATTTCATACAAAATAATTTTTAGAATTGGAATTAGTGTTACAAATTCCTTTACTTTCTTGAAATTACATATAGTTTTTATTTAAAAATTAGAATTTTATTTCTTTTATCTCTTTGTTGCACAATTAAGTTTTTTTATGTTGTGTAGTTCATAGGTATTGTACTAGTGTAACTTAATGTGCTAAAGTTTCCCTCTATTGAACCATGCTCAACTTAAAACCTCGATGTTTAAGACACACTAGTAAGATACTGTATACTATACGAATTTTACAAAATTGATACTTTTACAACAAAAAAAGAAGTAAAAGTTATATTATTTTTATTAACTATAGACAGTGATTTTACAATAAATAATAAAATATTACCAAATTGATATTATCTAATGTGGTACATCAAAGACCTTCGACCGATTGAAATCTGGCTGTTTTTGAGCTCCTCCCCTGGTTGAACGCTTTTAGAGCTGCAGAACTCTCACACCTGAGGTGTTTAAGATGAAATGCAGTATGTAAACGTATTTAGAGATTGTAATGTCATGTTGGGCATACCTCATTGCCTTATATAGAGAGATAATACCTTGTTTCTCAAGCCTGTCCGTTCACACTGCCTGAACTTCTCGAATTGCCTAATTCTGTTAGGCCACGTGGGGTAATATTTTCATAATATTCTTTCTTATCCATTAGTCTTTTTCATTAGACGGTTTAATCGTGCGACTGACCCCAATTACTTCTAGGTAGAGTATTACTCACATCGTTCTCCTGCACTCTGTTCATCTGGTCGATTCTTCGACCACATGTACCTTCATGTCGAACTTTAATCAGGCCATCCCATGACCCTAGTTCGACCTGCTGGAGTTCTCCGTATCCTTTGATGTTCTCTTCGATCTGATGATCCTTTGACATGTGAAGTCTTAACTCCCCGTTCGACCTAATAGTCCATTCGGTTCGATTCAGTTGCTTCCTCAGTCTAGCCGACCTGGTACGGTTATCCTATATCAAGTACGAAGCACATATTTATCCCAATTAAGCTTCCGACATGTCATATAAGCTCAACACGTTTTAAATTAATGTATAGGGGTTTATACTAATACAATTAATTATATGTGCTTGAAAAAATAATAGATTTACAAAAGAAAAATTATATTATTCTTGTAAAATTATAAACAATAAATGCAGAATGATTAACAATAAACTAACATAGCGATAGTTATTTATAATGGTAATCGTATTTTACACTTATGACTGATTTATTAATTATATCTATAAAATTATATATATTTAAAACAAACAAATGATTGACATGGACGTGTTCGGTAAAATACAGAAAAGTGCATCATTTACGCGTTTTGTAGGATCATATGTAAGAATTTACATTTCTACAATATAGGCCCTATGTCATACATGTGCACAATCTATAACAAATCAAAAGAAAGTACTAAAGTAATCAAAAGAAAAATATTCATTCAAGAGAGAAA